CGTTATGATTTGGCTATTGAATTTTTATTGAGGCTCATTTGAACTAAATTAGTAATTATTAAAAATTTTTTGTTGAAATAGTCACATCTTCCCTAGCTGCCAATACCCATCATAAATATTGCCGTTGAGGAGGTTGACTAGACCGGCAGACGACATATTTTGTGTACAACAGCGTGTTCGATATTGAACGCTCGCATTCGGAATGCGTTGGGGTATATACTCGTATGCGTGATGCAAAATCAGCGTTCAACAAAACGTTAAGTTACTTAACACTCAAATTCTCTCGACTTTTAGTATTTTTTTTTAAATCATAGACTAATAATTAGCCGTGTAATGCAGATATTTTGCTACTGCAGGATACGAATTCGGGCAATGGAACGTTTATTAATCTGGCGCGATTTTTTTTATTGGTACATGTGTTCGTAATACTAGTGTCTCTCACACATTGACTTTCCTTCAATAAAACTCTGCATTGTAACCATCGTAAAATTTTTATGCTGAAATCCGCTTCAACGATAATTTGACAAGGTAGACTTGTATAATCAAATGCTTTATTTAACTGTGGATTTCAGATAGAGCCACATAATTCGCTACTGCACCATCGACGTTTGGGTCGATGGTGCGATAATGCCATTGTAATGATTCAATAGCGCGATGTAGTGATAAAATGACGATGGACCATTGCATTATCGCGCAATCGTGGACCACTGCATTATCGCGCAATCGTCATCTCGCTATCGCATTGTTGCGTCACGTCCCATCGACTATGGATCGATGACGGGATCGTGAGACGACCGTGAACTCTCTAGTTAAGTATCCTATCCAGATTGCATGATTTTTTTTTCGGTGTGCATTAGTGAAAAGGTCGAGATTTCATTCACTTTGTTCATTTAGGTAATAATCCAAAATAATAATGTCAACGACTTACTAAGCTTTCTTAATAATCGTTAGCCCACACTTCGACTCAATAGAGACTGCTTTCATTGCAAATGAGGATCATTTAATTTCCCACATTAAAAAAGCTACGTCTGAGCTTTTTTGTGCAATGTGGAAGACATTATGCTTATGAATGTTTCATATATATAGAAATGGGTACACAAGGGTACAACTTAGCAAGCGAGGAAACCTGTGGTCTACGATCTCAATTTTAGTAGGCTAAATGGGAAGACCCTGAGGAGAAGAGACACACCGTTCCTCGCCTACATTTAAGAGAAGCTGTCTGTAATCATCAAGAATTTTTTGGAAAGTGCAAATTTTTTTTATTAAAAAATCCTATCATCATTTATAGCATTATTGATTACATTAATAAATACACATGGGTAAGTTACTTAAACTCGGTTTATAAAATTTTATTGATCACTTTGTTGTTACCATGGTAACAAGCAACAAAGCCTTTAAAAAAACTGAGTAATATACCCCTTTAAATGCAAAATAAATACAATTAAGATTGTGAAATACCTTTTTATAAGTTTAAGGTAAATTAACAATGCTTAAATATTTTTTTTATGAAATACAAATTTTTTATATCTTACTAAAATGGTTGCCAAAAATGCAACCAAAATAACTTGCATTTTATACAATCAGAAATTCAATAAAACAAAAGATTTTTGAGCTACCATTTTTCAGGGGCACAACACAGTCTGGTAAAGTCTTTCATATAGAAAGAAATAACAAATGCTAGATTTCTATTATAAAAAATAAAATCAGTTAAACAACTTTATGTTTTTTGTTCCTAACCTGACCAAAATGACCATTTTTTAAAAAAATCAGCAGCATTTTCAAAAATCTGTTTAAGAGCCACTCATTGTAAGCAGTTTTTTTTTTTGGCATGCATGATCAACAATTTTGATGAAACTCTGCTCATTCATACATGGCTTCATACCTGAAACAAATATATAAAAATTTGGTTGTTAAATGTCTTGGTTGCCATGGTAACAGATGAAAAAAAAATGAAAAAAAAAAATGAGATTTTTTTCTACAATCTTTATCAAGTCTTGACAAACACTAAAAAAATCAATTTGACCACTTGCAATTACACCATGTTGCTACCTATGCTGCAAAAAAAAATTATTTGGATATCTCTAAAGTGATGCTAACCATGGATACATTTTGCATACAATTTACATGCTGAAAATGCCCAGTATTCATTTATGATAGGTGTGATGTGATGAAACCTAAATGCCAATAGTAAAAAAATACCCAAACAAAACAAGTACTTGGCCTTATGCAGAAAGACTATAGCAATTTATTTTTAAAATAAATATGGTTACTATGGTAAAATATCATAGAAACACACAGTTTATGGTTAAGTTTTAATTGATACTGTCAACTAAATGAATGAATACTGCTAAATATACATCTTAAGACATTGTGCGTGACACAGACGGTATAAAGAAATATTGAAGGTTATTGCTATATTATGGTGTAGCCATGGAGACAAGATAGCTGTAATTAAAGTGATAATTTTGGATGGTACATAATTACAACACAGAACTAGCTAAATATGTACATTCTCCAAAGGGTGCATCTGTCATAATGGCTGGGGACATAATGAAATCTAGGAAGTGCTCATCTTGCTGAGATGAAACTTTTTCTCGGACTTGCTTTTTGTCAGGGACAGGAGTTGCAACACCAAATATTGCAGCATGTTTACGTGCAGCAGAATACTTATAACGAGTCAGTTCTGGGATATTTTTTTTTTGAAATCATTATAGCTGTAGTGTTGAACTAATATACTAAGAATCTGCCTCTGAGCTCCCCAACTTACAATACTATTATAGGCACAAGAGGCAGATTCTAACATGTTCTCTGTATTTGGCATTGAATATAAAGCATTTTCTATTTTCGATTCCTGTTCAGGGACCAGAATCTGTAAAACACCATGCATTATTTGCTTCGCTTTCTTGATGTAATCATTCTTTGTCCTCTCAGAAGCTAGGTCAAAGTCAATACTCAGAGGGGGGGGGGGGGCTTATATCTACTGCTGCTAAAAATTCATTCAGTGCTGCTTTTCTTTTTCTTGAGGGACTCTCCTGAGAATCCTTCCACTCAGAATTCAAAGAAAACTGTGAGGAAGCTGTTTCTGTCACTGAAAATTCATCCTCTCCTTGGCTGTCCATAAGCACTTGTCCCTGAAAAAAAAAATTAAGACAATATAACAGTACCATGTGCTGTGTAATTTACATGAAGCTAAATTCATGAAGGTGTAAAAATCATGTATATTTTAGCAAATATTTTCTAATCATTAGGGTTACAAAAACATAGTCATTGCATATGTTTGATTTCACGTTTCGGACGAACAGACAGATGGCGCTAGACAAACTGTGATCAGAAAAAGCCACTTTCACTTTCAGCTCAAGTGAGCTAGAAAGTCTGGAAAAGTAACTATAACTGAATGATAGAATTATGGAATGACAGAAGGAAAGGGGCAAGATGTGCCCCAACCATTTCATGGTGGGGATATAAAAAGTAATTAGCTTTATGTTTGCATTCCTTTACCTTATTAAGCTGTTCACTCCTAGCTTAATCAAATGTAATCATTTGTTCTTCATCAATGAATGTAGCTTATCATTTGATGATACTGATCTTATATCTTTGAGAATATCACGACGACTATAACATAGCTGACTAGATCATTCCTAAATATCCCCTCACTTCACCTGATCTGGCAAATTAAGTTTTTATTGTATATATGTACATTGTTATTTCACTCTCTTGTTAGCTTATACTTGTACAGGTCTGTATTTGTTTGATGGATGAGCTGTAAAGCTCAAAAACAATTAAAAAAACTGGACTCAGCATTTATACAGCAGTGGTGTAATTCAAACATGCATAATTGACAATTTATAGTGTGCTCACCAATTTCAGTTTGGGATGTTTCTAATTAAAGGGTTTTAACATTGTTGTGTGTTGTGGTGTAATACTTCTCAGTACATATTATAATTTATTAAACAGAATGTTTACCTTCTTTTGAAATCAATATATTCGACAATGATATATTGTGATTTATATGGTATCTAGTATACATGCATGTACACTGCAATATATTTACCATGATAGTACTATTGTAGCTTCCATTCTTTGGAGCAGTTCTGTTCTGCACTTCCCACATATTCCTACAAAAATGACTAGGGATGTGCGATTTTATCGGTATACCGGTATATTGCGATTTTTTGTCGCGCGATACGTATCGCGATACGGGAACCAAAATACCGATATTTTTCACATGTTTAAAAGAAGATGGGTGAACATGCCGAGCGAAAAGCTTATAGTATGACAAACATGAAGGTGAAAAATTAGGTCTCAATTATATCAAAATTTTCCTTGATATATCATCTAACATTAAAATATACTTTATGTACAGTGCAAAATCTGTACTATTTGCAAAAATCCGACAAAGATTAAAATTATTTGCTTATGAAATAACATACACACACTAAAGAGGGCAAAAAGAGTCATTTTCTCATACAATAACACTATCTTTCGATATGAGTGGGTCTTCGCTCCATTTTTTTGAAAGTTAATCCTCGAAGATTGCATAAAAATGTACATTTTTTGGTTACCAAAAATATGGAGCAAAGACCCACTATACCTTAAAAATATACTTTTATGACATAACATTCGCATCTTTTCGAGAAATACTTGAAGTCCATTAAGTCAAGGGTCATATCACAAACATGATTTAAATGCCACTATTCATCAGGACTTGTGTAGTCTAGTGGTAAGCGTGCTAGTCTTGAAAGAAAATGATACTCAGGATTTTTATTGCTAGGGTTCGAACCCCAATAATACCACATTATTTTTTAATAAAAGAAGAAATTTTTGCTGAGAAAATTTTCCTCGGAAAAGTTTTGTTTAATTTATCATAATTTCATTAATTTCAATAATGAGAACTTTACTCTAAATACTAAATTCACAAACTGAACATGATTTTTATATATCTGAAGCTATAGGCTTTCTGCGCGCTATGTTCGCCCATCTCCTTTCCGGAAATAAATCATTTAATCGACCAAACTTTAAAATTACAATTACCGGAAGTTTAAATGGCGACTTCTGAAGACATCGATTAAATAAAATTCACCCGAGGTAAATCTGAGGTATGGAAATACTTCCTCGTAAAAAAAGACAAGAAAACAGGAAAAGTTATTGAAAACATAGCCGTATGTTCGAAATGTAAAATTGAAGTGAAATGCCCCGGTGGAACTACCAACCTCAACAGTCACATGAGGAGACATCATCCGAATTTGCTTGCTGAAGATCCTAATCCTACGAAAAATACTTCAGAAAAATTAGAGGTTAAAAAGCCCTTGGTAAACACACCTGTATCTAGAAACTTGGTTTCTTTGCTTGGTAAAAAGTATGCTTCAAACACGGAACGTGCAAAGAAAATCACGGATAAAATTGCTAGATTTATTGTCAAAGATCTTCGACCATTCAGTATGGTTGATTCCCCTGAATTCAGAGATATGATAGCTTGTTTGGATAATCGTTACCAGGTTCCCTCCAGAAAGACATTTAGTGAAATTGTCATTCCAAAAATGTATTCAGATGTGAAAGTTAAAGTTCAAAGTAGTCTTCGTGAAGCAGAGCAAGTAAGTATTTACTGCGTAATTTGTAGTGAAGAAAAATATTTTCAGATTTATAGACCAGTATGTTTAAAAGCTTTAGAAAAATCTAACATAAATATTTTAAGTGAAGTAATTAATATTTCACTCCTTATTAGGTAGCATTGACCACTGATGGCTGGAGTTCACGAGCAACAGAGTCCTACATTACGATTACTTCCACCCATATTGACAAAGATTGGAATATTTGTAATTTTGTTTTGCAAACCAGGATGATGCCAGAATCCCATACAGGTAACATCATTGTAAATGTTAAAATTTTGATTTGATTATATTTATTTATTTGCTTAATCAATTACTTATTTTAAGAAAATTGCTATAAATTTTAAATATTAATTAGTATACATGTATATTATAATTGGTTTTATTATTTGAAAAAATGATTTTAAAAATATTTGTCCTGATTGTAGGAGAAAATGTTGCAGAGGTTCTGAGAAATGCTGTGAGGGAATGGAATCTGCCCATTTTTTATGGATTTCCACCAGTAGTGTCTGATAATGCTGCTAACATGATGAAAGCCGGTGAACTCCTTGGAAACATTCATGTTAATTGTTATGCTCATACATTAAATTTAGCTTGTCAAAAATGCCTTGCGGTTAAAAGACTGGAAAATATTCTTGCCAAAATCAGAAAAATTGTTGCCTTTTTTCATAGAAGCAACATTGCAGCAGCTTTGCTGAAGAATACAGCTGAATCTTTGTCACTACCTCAACACAAATTAATAATGGATGTCCGCACAAGATGGAACAGTGCCTATGATATGATCTCACGATTTCTTGAAATGCAGGTAGCAATATTTGCTACCTTGAAATCAAAGGAGTTAGGAAAAGAAAGGGAATCTGAATTGAAGTCTTTCCATGATGATGACTTTTCTGTGGCAGAGGAGGTGATCCAGCTGTTAAAGCCATTTAAGGACATAACAACACTCCTGTGTTCAGAAAAATCCCCCACTTTGTCCATTATCTTGCCACTCCACAATAAACTTCTGGACAAGCTTTGTGAACAAATTGATGATACTCCCACTGTCCGCAGTATGAAGAATATTATGTTTAAAGACTTAAAGGAAAGATATGCTCGCATTGAACACACTCTACGCATTGTTTCTGCACTGGATCCGCGATTCAAGATGCTTCCATTTTTATCAGAAAATGAGAGATCAGCGGTGTTCTCTGATATTGTTTTAGAAGTCTGTAGAGTACAGAATATTATCAAAGTGAAAAGAGAGAAAGAAAACAAAGATGCTGAATTAGATGATGTTGAAGTCCTGAATGAGCCACCTCTGCCCTCACTTTCTTCACTTTCAGATTCTCCGGCTGTTAGTCCTGTCAAAAAGAGAGTCAAAGCAGAAGATTCTTCCTCTACTAGTTGTGGTGATTGTATGGAATCTGTACTCCACAGTTTTTAGGTGATGTGTACATTACCGATATTGAGCCTCCAAAATCACCAAATGTGATTGCTGAGCAGCAGGTGAATGAATACAGAAGTGCACGAGCAATACCTCTTCAGGAAAATCCTCTTTCTTGGTGGAAAGAAAATGAATTTAAATTCCCACTTGTTGCTAAACTTGCTAGAGCTTACTTATGTATACCTGCAACAAGTGTCCCGTCCGAAAGAGTTTTTTCTACTGCTGGAGATATATTAAGCGCACAGAGGGCACGTCTAAAGCCGAAGCACGTTGACAATTTAATTTTCTTAAAAAAAAACCTGCCCTAATCTGAAAAATCAAATCTAATTGACTTTTGTGTTTTGAGTTAAATCAGCCAATCAATTTTTCTTTATTTACAAACAAAACGGGAAAGTTTGTAACCATTTGAGTTTGAACAGTTTATTATAAGTAATATTTTATTTTCTTATTTGTTTTCTGCAGTTTGATTTTAATTTTTTTCAATATAAACACATTAAATACATTATGAAATGATTGATTTTTCATTTATTTACAACAAAAATGAAAAAAATAAGGAGTAATTGCTTATAAATCAAACAAACATTGTGCTCCAAAATATCACGATATTATCATGATATTTTGAAAAAATATCGCGATACGAAATTTTTGGCGATACCCATCCCTAAAAATGACCGATTATCAATATATTTTTGCATACAATAACGTGTAAGTTTTCCAGGTTTCACAAGATGTTGACTTGATGATAACAAGTAACAAACTTTCTCATGAAAGAATAAAAAACAAATAAATCCTTTAAAAACTAATTCTGTGTCGTATTCTGCCCTATGCACAGGGCAAACAGTAATGCTGAAATTTGGGTCAAAAAAGCCTCCCCGCAGTCTTAGCAAATCAGCTTTACTTTGTATATTTTCCTTTGATAAATTAAACTTGAATAGGTGGTCCCATATGTCTTTTTTACATTGAGAAATTAATAGTATGTTACATTTAACTGTCTCATCTGATGTCCTCAGCCTGCCTTCACCACATATATTTTACTTGATATTGCTTGAAATGTACATGGGAAATCCATTTTTGTAATTATTCTGAAAACAAGCAATAAAATTACTCAAAAAATTTGATTCATTTTGGAAGTAACATTTGTAAAGAAGTTAAAATGATGATCAAGAAGTTTACATTTAATATGCCGGGTTTATAAATGCAAGACAATATGATATTGATCTCATGCAATATTAGGGGATGATATAGGGCGTTATATAAGCCCTTTATCATATTCATTTTCAGTAATCAGTGATTTAATCCATTTTAAAAAATCATTAAAATATATATTAAATGGTGTACATGTATATGTAATAAATCTATTAAATAAATACAATATTCATGCTCTGATATACATTTTGTTATGATCGATTTTTGACTGCTGATATCAGATATGTAAACATATATATAGGTGTGACATCTGCAAATCAAGACATTTTGTATGAATTTGAAATTATTACACAGATTCTAACTTCATCATAACTAACTGAGAAAACTTGATTTGCTGGAAAATATGCAAATATATACATTACCTTTTCAGGAAATTGGTGCATGTTATATCTGCTAAGCACTGATTATTCATTTCTTCCTTTAATTCTAGAGAGTTCGCATCAAGGGGGCTAATCATTAAGTAAAATAAAAGGAACTAGTGTAGAGTGTTTTTAGCTTTTACAAAAAAAGGGTGAATTGTTTAAATGTTTTTATTTACTATATTGGTTGCATAAGCAGCTGTCTAAATAACGGCATGTATAATTATTGATAACCCCGTTGTGCCTCAGAAAAAATAATGTCTGAAAGGAAGTTATAAATGCTCTTTTCTGACCTTCATTGATGACACATTTGAAAGAAAAAGGAGGAATATATGTATTTTTGAAAGATAAATATAATAATCTATGTGTTTTATCGGATTTCCTGTCGATGTACATTATTGGGGATTTGTTTTATTGGAAATAATTGTGAAAAGGTTGAAAAATACAACATCTATTGAATTATCTGTGGGCACGTTCCCTTGCCATAGTAACACGATGCACAATTCCCGTATTTTTTACTTCTTTATAATTTACTATCACTATGCACAAAAGTGTGAAAGTTTTGTACAGATTTGTGATTTTTGCACTTTCCACTTTTTTAAAGATAATTCTCAATGGTTACAGACAGCTTCTCTTAAAAAATGAAAATAATGATCCTGTTATTGCTAATATTTATATTGTAATGCAATTCACTATTAACAATTTCTTAGGATTTCTGTTTGTAAGACACTTCTATGAACAAAATTAAACTACAATACATACTGGAAGTCTATACTTGTGTTATCGATTTTAGGATATAAACGTTCTCTTACGTCCCTGTTTTAATTGTTAATGCAATAAATGTGAAAGCACAAAATTTTATTCACACTGAACAAAGAGGTGGCCGAACATTAAGCAACAAAAGGGGCCTCGACGGTCACATGAATATCGATCATGAATTTTTCACGCTTAATGAACACATTGGCCCAACCAAAAACTGGAACTTCGGACACATTTAGCAAATGTTTAGTTTTGTGAGGATTCTATAGTCACTATTATATCCATACAGCTCGTCTCCGTGAAGTTCATTAGTAAAGGAGATAAGGTTTGCTATATATTTTATCAAATGGACTTAGCCCCACCCTTGGGCCTGGCCCCTGGGTCCACTCAATATAATCATTCAAACATTTTGTCTGATAGATGTCCATGAGTAAATGAAGAAGATTTGAATATGTCTTGTTTTTCAATATATGACCAGCTAAGCCCTTCTCGGGACTGAATCATGGGCATGAATTTTACATTTTTGGTAAAGAGCTGCAAGGTTTAAATTTAAAATTAATAGTCAAACGATCTGTCAGGAAGACTAAAGAATATTTATCTATGTGCATCTAGATCCAACCCTTAACTGAAGGGCCTTAAATTGCACAGTTTTGGTAGAGTGCTATATGCAAGTGTTCATCATATCTTTGAAATAATTTTTCCGCTAAATGTTGCACTTGTAGAATGCAAGATTTCCACCGATACAATTTATTTTGGCTGTTGGACCAATTAAACCCCACCCTAAGACTTAAACCAGAGACCCTCAATTTCATAATTTCGGTAAAAAGTTAAGTACTTGACGAACAAGATGTGTTTGTGAAACACTGATGCCCCCGTATGGCAACTTATAGCAAAGATTAAACTTTCTCAAATGCAAATCAAATATGTTGTTGCCCAAAGTAAGGTCTTGTCTCGAGGAATATACCTGTGAAATATGAAAGCCGTAGCAGCAAACATTGAATAGATATGGAAAAGGTTAAAGTTTTTCAAAAGTAATTCAAACATCAAGGTCAAACGGTCAAAATTAATGGTGCCTATGGAAAGGCCCTCTCACAAGAAATATACAGGTGAAATATGAAAGCTGAAGCACCAATCGTTCAAAAGCTATGATCAAGGTTAAAGTGTTTCAAAAGTAGGTCAAACTCCAAGGTCAAGGTCAATGGATTACAAAGGAAAGACATGTCACAAGGATAAACATGTTAAATATGAGAGCCCTAGCAACAACTTTTCAAAAGTTGTGTCCAAGGTTAAAGTTTTCGAAACGTAGGTCAAAGTCCAAGGTCAAAGGGTCAAAGTTGTTGGTATCCAAAGGAAGTCTTGTCACAAGGATTATAATATGTGAAGTATGAAAGCCCTAGCACCAACGGTTCAAAAGTTATGGCCAAGACGGTTCAAAAGTTATGGCCAAGGTCAAAGTTTTCCGAAAGTAAGTCAAACTCCAAGGTCAAAGTGTCAAAGTTGTTGGTACCCAAAGGAAGGTCTTGTCACAAGGATTATATATGTGAAGTATGAAAGCCCTAGCATTAGCGATTCAAAAGTTATGGCCAAGGTTAAAGTTTTCCGAAAGTAAGTCAAACTCCAAGGTCAAAGTGTCAAAGTTGTTGGTATCCAAAGGAATGTCTTGTCACAAGGATTATATATGTGAAGTATGAAAGCCCTAGCATTAGCGATTCAAAAGTTATGGCCAAGGTTAAAGTTTTTCAAAAGGAGGTCAAACTCCAAAGTCAAGGTCAAAGGGTCCAAGTTGTTGAAATCCAAAGGATGGTCTTGTCACAAGAATTACATATGTGAAGTATGAAAGCCCTAGCAACAGCCGTTCAAAAGTTATGGCCAATGTTAACGTTTTACAAAAGTAGGTCAAACGTCAAGGTCAAAGGGTAAAAGTTGTTGGTATCCAAAGGAAGGTCTTGTCACAAGGATTACATATGCTAAGTATGAAAGCCTTAGCACTAACCGTTCAAAAGTTTTGGCCAATGTTAAAGTTTTTCAAAAGTAGGTCAAACTCCAAGGTCAAGGTCTAATATGGTGGTACCCAAAGAAGGGTCTTGCCACAAGGAATACACGTGAAGTATGAAAGCCCTAGCACCAATCGTTCAAAAGTTATGGCCAAGGTTAAAGCCATAGCTCTAACCAATCAAAAGTTATGGGCAATGTTACAGTTTTTGCGGACAAACAGACAGACAGACAGACGGACGGACAAGGCAAAAACTATATACCCCCGAATCTTCGATACGGGGGCATAATAAAAATGAATTTTGTCTATTAGGTCTCCATGGATAAAGATTTTATGAGTTAACGCATTTTCAATATATGACAAACTTAGCCCTCAAGACTGAACACATGGGCCATTTTGTTTAAAGGCACAAAGGAATGTTTGATTAGTTGATGTCCAAGATTAAAGAAGATTTGATGGTTTTGACTCCCCTTTTCCTAGACATGCTATATACATGTACCAAATAGGTTGAATTGATTGATACTTAAAAACTCGAAAGAACTTTTAGAAAATTTGAAATTACAAAATTTTACTAAAATCAATAACATCAAAACATGCGACTTTTCAACACTTTGTACAACCATTCCCCACGATAAATTGAAGTTCAGGCTTTGTGACATCATAGACAGCTTCTTTTTCAATAA